TGCTGCTGGGAGTACTGAGCCTGGGGGTGCTGGGCCTGGGGGTGCTGGGGCTGCAGGTGCTGGGACTGAGGGTGCTGGAGCTGAGGGTACGGTGCCTGAGAGTACGGAGCCTGGGGGTGCTGCGCCTAGGGGTGCTGAGCCTGCGGGTGCGGGGCCTGGGAGTGCTGGGACTGCGGGTGCTGGAGCTGAGGGTACTGTGCCTGAGAGTTTGCCGCCTGGGGGTGCTGAGCCTGGGGGTGCTGCGACTGGGGGTGCTGAGCCTGCGGGTACTGAGCCTGCGGGTACTGAGCCTGGGGGTGCTGCTACTGAGCCTACGGAGCCTCGGGTTACTGCGTCTGGGGGTGCTCCGGTTCGGGGTGCTGAGCAGTCTCTCACACCGCAGCAGCTTCGCGACTGGTACGTCCGACGCTTTCGCCGTCCTAGTGGCTCGACTGGAGTTTGGGGTGCTGGAGCTGCTCGTCCTGGGGGTGCTCGTACTGGGGGTACTGGAGCTGCTGGAGCTGGGGACCCGGCCGGTGGAGCTGCTGCTGGTGCTGTGGACCCGGCCGCTGGAGTCCCTTCTGCTTCTGGAGACGCTGCGCGGCCGCGACCGTACTTCGTACCGCTCCTTCAGCAGGTTCTTGGGCAGGCTCCTCCTCCTTGTCCTCCTCCCTCCGTAGAGTGTCCTCCGCCTGTCCAGTCGCAGTCACAGTTACCGCCTGCCTCGCCTCTCCCTGCTCCCTCTCCTTATACTGGTCCCACAGGAGGTCTTACAGAGCGTCGTGAGCCTGAGTCTCGTCCTGCGTCGCCTGTTCGTCCTGCTCGCACTGGTAGTCGTGTCCGTCGTGAGCGTCCTCCTCCTGTCCCAGGCACTCACTACATGACTCTGCGTCCCTCTACTGCTCCTCGGCGTGTCCCTCTACCGTCTCCTCCTGCGTCCTCTTTGCCTGCCGTTCCGGACCCTGAGTCTGACCGGTATCGCGCTGAGCACCCTACAGTCACGCGTCTCCTTGCTACTGTTGTCACTGACCCCACCTTTGAGTCCTCGGCTGCGTCTGCTCTGGTCGCTGAGTTGGTTGACTTTGCTGCTGCCTGTCGTCTAGACTACGCTGCTAGCCTTGTCGCTGAGTCAGAGTCTGCGTCTGTCTGTCCTCCGTCCGTCGGGGGTGAGTGTGCTCTTGGCACGGACGTCCTTGAGGACAGGCAGGAGGACTTTGACTCTCTTGCGGCTGCTGTACCTCATCTCGTGGCCTGGTTGCTTGCCCCTGAGGGAGACCCGGATGCACTAGACATCCCCACTCCGCGCACTTACGCAGAGGCGATCTCGGGTCCCTACTCCTCTCAGTGGCAAACAGCCATGGACGCAGAGATGGCATCCTGGAAGTCCACAGGCACCTACGTCGACGAGGTTCCCCCTCCTGGGGCGAACATCGTCGATGGCATGTGGATTTTCAGGGTGAAGCGGCCGCCGGGTTCTTCGCCTGTCTTCAAGGCGCGTTACGTGGCTCGAGGCTTCAGTCAGCGTCAGGGGGTCGACTTCTTCCAGACCTTCTCCCCCACCCCGAAGATGACCACTCTTCGGGTTTTGCTGCACGTTGCTGCTCAGCGTGACTACGAGCTTCACTCTCTTGACTTCAGCACAGCGTTCCTGCAGGGCAGCCTGCACGAGGAGATCTGGCTGCGCCGCCCACCTGGCTTTACTGGGTCGTTTCCCCCTGGTACCCAGTGGAGTCTCCGCCGGCCAGTCTACGGTCTCCGCCAGGCGCCACGTGAGTGGCACGACACACTGAGGACTACTCTTGCGGCTCTTGGGTTCGCGCCGTCTACTGCTGACCCGTCGCTGTTTCTGCGCACTGACACGTCGCTGCCGCCGTTCTACATCCTCGTGTACGTCGACGACTTGGTCTTTGCTACTGCTGACACTGAGGCACTCGCTCGTGTGAAGTCGGAGCTGCAGAAGAGACACACCTGCACTGACCTGGGTGAACTGCGTAGCTACCTTGGCTTGCAGATCACCCGGGACAGAGCCCGTCGCACCATCACCCTGACTCAGTCACACATGGTGCAGCAGGTCCTTCAGCGCTTCGGCTTCCAGTTCTCCTCACCACAGGCCACACCTCTGGCTACCAGCCACTCACTCTCAGCTCCACCTTCGGACGAGTCCGTAGAGCCGAGTGGCCCGTACCCAGAGCTTGTAGGCTGCCTCATGTACCTGATGACTTGCACGCGACCTGACCTTGCGTACCCTCTTAGTATCCTTGCTCGTTACGTTGCGCCTGGGAGACACAGGCGAGAGCACTGGGAGGCTGCTAAGAGGGTGCTGCGGTACCTGTGCAGTACATCAGGCATGGGGCTGGTGCTTGGAGGACGCGACAGAGTTGTCCTCACTGGTCACTCGGACGCCTCTTGGGTGGACGACCTGGCTACGCAGCGGTCGTCACAGGGTTACACCTTCAGCCTTGGCTCTGGTTCTGTCTCGTGGCGGTCCACCCGCTCTTCCTCTGTTCTCGGCTCTAGTTGTGAGGCTGAGATCTACGCCACAGCCATGGCTGCACAGGAGTTACGCTGGCTCACCTACCTGCTGACTGACTTGGGAGAGCGGCCTAGTTCTCCGCCAGTTCTGTACGGTGACAACAAGGCGGCTCTTGCCTTGTGTCAGGAGCACAGACTGGAGCACAGGACGAAGCACATTGCTCTTCGCTACTTTCTTGCTCGAGAGCTTCAGCAGCGCGGTCAGCTTCGACTTGTGTACGTGGACTCGAAGGCCAACACTGCTGATATCTTCACCAAGGCGCTCCCGCCTAGTGATCATCAGCGGCACTGTACTTCTTTAGGCCTTGTGTCCACGTTTCCTCACTTGCTCACTGCTTGACATTCTTTGTACTGTACTTTATATATATCTTGTTGCTTGCTTGCTAGGTTTTGATCACTGTGTTGCTTGTCTTGTACTATATCTAGCACTGCATGTGAACTGGCCTTGTGGCCTTTACTTGTGCTCGGAGTGTGGTGACGTTGTGATCCACCCTGGGCTTTGCTTTGCTTTGCTGGACTGGTCGTGTGACCCTTTGTTCTCCCCCACTTTGCCTATGGGGGTGTGTTAAACTCTATTATGCTTGTAGGCTGTAGTGGGGTAGCCAATATGGGGTACAACCCCAACTAGGGTTTCACATTTGTACCCAAACTTCTGCTAGTTCAATCATTCTTGCCTAGTGATTCTGACATCTAGCCCATCATCAAGAGACTAAACATGGCGCATTCCCCGCGTCAAGCCTCTTTGGGTGCCTCAGTATCAGTTGCTTCTTTAATGCTATTCCTTTTCCTGTTTGGTAACTCTCTCTGTGCGTGCGCTGTTGATTCAACACCAACCACCCACCCACTAGGTCATTCTCTCACAACCAGCTGTATGGAAGCATCCCTGAGGCACTCACCAGTCTCACAAAGCTATTTAATTTGTACGTTTTTTGTTTTTTTTTTCCGCAACTTTGAGAGGCACTGACCTGTCTCACAAAACTCGCTTGTCTTGTACGATGCGAGACCCCTCATCACTTCCACCATTCATCATTGGTTTATAAGAAGCATCCTTCCGAGAATTCTTATACATCTCTATACAAAAGTCGCACACACCCCCCAGTGCCATGCCAAGAACACGCACCTCCTCTCCCCTTCTTTCCGCCCCGCTCCTCTCCCTCCATGCATTTCACACCTCCTCTCGTTTCCCCATACAACTTCTCCTCACACCTCCCCTTCTCTAACCGTACCCCCCTCACCCCGCCCCTTCCACTCCCACCACTGCAGCGACCTCTCACACAACTACCTCACAGGAGGCGTGGTGAAGCCGAAGCAGGCATACGCGGACCTATCCTTCAACTACCTCTCCAGCCCTATTCGCGAGTGCACGTCCGGCAACTACGAGGCTAACTGCATCACAGTGACAGGCGCCTGCCTCGCACAGATGCGCCCGGATTCTGTCTGCAACTCCTTCTGTGGCATCTCGGGAACCTCGGCTGCCTGTGCGGGTCACGGGGTGTGTTACCCTACAGGCGCTAGCCTGCGGCCGGCATGTGCGTGCGATGAGGGGTTCAAAGTCGTTGATGGGCTGACGTGCGTTCCTGAAGGTAATCAATCCTGCAGTGTGTGTTGAGGATTGTCAAGAAGGAGTGGGTGCGTGCGATGAGGGGTTCAAAGTCGTTGATGGCTTGACTTGACATGCGTTCCTGAAGGTAACGAATGAACCCCCAAGCAAGCCTGCTGGCCGTGAACATGGGCCCCTATTGATGTAGTGTGTGTGGGGCCTGTGGGAGAAGACTTTTGAGTCGACTCAGAAGTCACCTTGTGTGTGTGGGGCCAGTTGGAGAGGGATTGGGTGGGTGCAAGTTGGCTGCCTTCTATCCCTGATTGACGCGTGCTGTGTTCTTGCCGCTATATTGTTTGTTCATTCGCTGCATTCCCTCTGCTGAACTGATGGCTCGCTCTGCACTATCCAGAATATGCTGCCTCACACACTTTACAAACTGTGCGATTTTTTAGGCACCTCATAAGTAGACGCCTTAAGGTGAGTTATTAGGGCTCCTAAAAAATTGCCACATATGCAGACGCCACACCGTACGCATCTAACAAGCTTTTGAGAATTCTCACGCATTTAACTAGCTACATTGGTGTTACTTTTGAAGATTCTCACACATTCAACAAGCTGTGCGATTTCTTGTCTCGTGCTTCGTGGGCACTGTTCTGGGTTCTGGGTTCTGGTTCGCTTCACAGACCCTGTGCTCATAACTCGTTCCTCGTTACATTTCTTGTGTTCCTCGTTACATTTCCTTCTCACATTTCTCACGTTCCTCATCGCATTCTTGTGTTCCCCAAAACCAACCCCTTGCTTCCCCAAACCCAACCCCTTGTTCGCTCCACTCTACGCAGAGCAAGACGAAGGCTACTCGTTCACCAACACCATTGTTCCTCCACAGACCGAACTCACCAGAGGAACACGGCAGGAAACAGTGGGTAAGTTCACTGAAGACCCCGTGATGCTCTTTCTCTACGAGCAAGGCCGCGAGGACCCAGGGTGCGGGACGGAGCTCGCATTCAACGTCAACTTCACCTTCTCCCTCACGCCCAAGCCTGGCAAAGCCGGCGCAAACGGCTTTGCGTTTGTCATCTCTGCAAAGAACCGTCCGGGGAGCAGCAGCAGCGGTGGTGTGGGGTACGGAGGCATGGAGAGCAGAAGCATGGCAATCGAGTTTGATACCTTCCAGGACCCCAAGCATGGCGACCCAGAGTATCAACACATAGGGCTGAACGTGCAAGGCAGAGACGCGTCTCTGGCAACTGCCAAGGCGCCGTTTGTGCTGAACGACCGGAAGCAGTACACAGCATGGGTGGACTATGAGCCTGGGGATCCCGGCACCATTCATGTGTTTCTGGCAAATTCTTCAACGGTTAAGCCGGGAGCGGCGGTGCTGGAGAGGCGGTTCTCGCTGTGCGGGGTGGTGCAGCCGGGGCCCCCGCAGGTGGAGCAGGGCGAGGAGGCGCAGGTGCAGGCGTACTACGTGGGGTTTGTGGCGTCTACCACTATGGCTCCTTTCCAGAAGCATGTTGTGCTGGACTCGTGGGTGCACGCAGGTGAGGGCGCTGGTGGTGGCGGGGGTGGGGGTTTTGGTTGGTTGGAGCGGATGGTTGAGTGGGGAGGGGTGTGATGAGGATGGCGCTGGGGTTCGTGGCGTCCACCACTGTGGCTCCTTTCCAGAAGCATGTCGTGCTGGACTCGTGGGTGCATGCAGGTGAGGATGGTGGTTTGGTTTGAGACGTCTCAGAATACTACTTGGGGTTCGTGAGATTCACCACCATGGCTCCTTCCAGAAGCACTTGGTGCTGGACTCCTGGGTGCATGCAGGTGAGGATGCTGGTGGTGATGGTGGGAGTGGTGGTGGGGGTGGGGATGCGGGTGGGGTTGGGGTTGGGGCTGGGGTTGGTGGTGGGTGGTGGAGGTGGTGGTGGGGTTTGTGGCGTCTACCACTGTGGCTCCGTTGCAGAAGCGTGGGGGTGGGGGCGGTGAGGGTGGACCGTGGTGGGCGTGGGGCTAGAAGGGGTGCTGGTGGGGTTTGTTTGTGGTCCTAAGTCCTTGACTCCTTGTGTTCATGATGACGCGGCAGGTGGCTCTTCTATGTCTGCTACATGTGATCACCCCCACATATTTAACTTGATACCCGTCATCTCTCTCTCTTGTGAGCTTCATTCATTCATTCACAGGCCTGCCTCCGCCACGCAAGCCAGTCAGCATCGTTCCTAGTAAGTCGTGAAGCTTGATCCAGAATGTGTGTTCAGCTACTGACTCCCGTGATCGTGACTCACATTCCCTTGTGTTGTGACAACATACCATGGCAATGACACTTACCCCTTCATTGATTCGCCTAAATAATCGTCTCTTGAGGCGCCTCGAAAATCAACATACCATGGCAAGGACGCTTCCCCATTCTCTCCACGCTATGTTCCCACATGCAAGAAAACCATCCCCATCCCATGCGCTGAAACCCACTTTTTTTTTTTTTTGTTCAAAAGAGAAAGGGCTGGCCTTCTTGTATGTTCTTGAACCTCTCCCATCCCATCTCCCTCGTCGCCATGGTTTTTCCACACTACTTTCTAGCCAGGCACTGCTTCCTCTCGACTCTCACACACGCCTCTCCATTACCACACACGCCTCTCCATTACCACACACGCCTCTCCATTACCACACACGCCTCTCCACTCCCCCCTGCACCTCGCCACTCCCTCGCTCGCATCGTACGGGCCGGCCGTGTCCGACGAGACGTACATGCCGCAGCAGGCGAGCCTATTCCCTGCGCTACTTCTTTTCTTACCCATCCTCAATGCTTCGTCTCCTCTTCCACACGCCTCTCTCTGCTCCCACACGCCCTTCACTCGACTCGCAGCGTACGGGCTGGCAGTATCAGTCGAAACGTACGTGCCGCAGCAGGCGAGCCCGTTCCCGCGCTACGCGAGTGCGGACTACCGCGTGGCAGCGGATAAGAAGGACTCGTGGCGCTTCAGCGACTACCACTCCTGGGACTCCGTGCCCTTCCTCGGCTGGCCCGTCAAGGACCAGTCCACCTGCAGTGAGTCGAGAGGACCAGACCACCTGCAGTGAGTCGCGAGGACCAGACCACCTGCAGTGAGTCGCGAGGACCAGACCACCTGCAGTGAGTCGCGAGGACCAGACCACCTGCAGTGAGTCGCGAGGACCAGACCACCTGCAGTGAGTCGCGAGGACCAGACCACCTGCAGTGAGTCGCGAGGACCAGACCACCTGCAGTGAGTCGCGAGGACCAGACCACCTGCAGTGAGTCGCGAGGACCAGACCACCTGCAGTGAGTCGCGAGGACCAGACCACCTGCAGTGAGTCGCGAGGACCAGGCCACCTGCAGTGAGTCGTGGCACGTCTCAGATTCTGAGTGGTGAGACGAGAGCTATTTCGAGTTCTGAGTTTTGCGGCACCTCAAAACTTGTCCATCAAGGACCAAGCCACCTGCTGCAATGAGTTGTGGGTCGTGAGACGTCTCAGAAGTTTAGATTGTGAAACGAGCAAAGTTGCCATATCTGGGTGCTGTAACCTGGTTTTGTAGTGGTCAGCATTCGTATGTCTGGTTCTCTTGCTGTTATAGCTGTGGTCAAGGGAAGTATGGAGCTTGTCAATCAGCACACGCACAGCACACAGGCACCCACAAGGCAAACTTACTACTACTTGCGTGGTGACTTTCTGAGTCGACTCACAAGGCACCCAGCCAGTGGTGGTGCGCATGCAGGCCTCCACACAGTCCTCCCTCTGTTTTTTTAGATCTGTTAAACAACAGATTCTGCCTAAAATCACCCTCCCCCGGCTTTTTTTAGAATTAAAAAAAAAAAAAAAAATCCTCCGCACAGTCCTTCCTCGAATACGACAGGGTGAGTGAGTCAGTCGTGCTTTCTCGTAGTCCGTGCTTTCATAGTTCATTCATCTATTTCTTGCGAGGTGACACCTTTTTGAGTCGACGCACAAGGCTCCGAGCCAGTGGTGGTGCACATGCAGGCCTCCACGTAGTCCTTCCTTGAATACGATGGGGTGCGCTTTTCTTTCTCCTTCCTTTGATTCCCTGTCTGCTCTGCTGCTCTTCTACGCTGTTGCTGGAGAGTGGAGTGCCTAAACAACTTCTGTGCTATTTCTTTCTTTTCTTTTCTTTTCTTTTCTCTCTTCTGCTTTTGTTACTGTGGTGCACACAGTTTCCGTACTTTCATTTTGGTTGACGTTGGCTCTTCTCTTTCTTCCCTCCCTTCCGTGTCCCCACTCCCTCCGCTCCCTTCACTCTCACCCCTCCCTCTCTCCTCTCTCTAACCAGACCTTCAAGTACCAGGACCCACAGTGCTACACGGCCGATCTGAACCACGTGGTGCTCGTGGTAGGCTACTTCATTTTCCGCGATGACGGCAGCCAGAACCGCATAGCACCGCCCTTCTGGATCGTGCGCAACTCGTGGGGAGTGGAGTGGGGCGACCGGGGCCACATGCGCATGGACATCCAAGGAGGGGACGGCGTGTGTGGCATCAACGTGCTGCCTGGCATCGTTCCCATTGTCAAGAGTATGTATGCCTTCGTCCTTCCAATGGGCCTTCGTCCTTCCAATGGGTCTTCGTCCTTCCAATGGGTGTTCCTCCACCCTGGGTGTTCCATCGTCCTTCCTCCACACCCGTCGTGTGTGTGGAGGAGCACCCATTGTGTGGAGGAGCCCTGCTTTTGCCCAGCCGTGTTTTCTTCAACCACCTACTTCCACATAATCATCATAAGAAGAAACCCTTACACGTTGACTCCCACCCCTGCTAGTTCCGCCACCTTTTTGCTCCACCACTGCTCCTCTTTCATGTCTTACCGGCAGTTCCCAAGGACCCATGTGGGCTGAGGAGCTACAAGGGCGATGGGGACTTGCAGCCCACGATGAACCCGTGTGGTCGCTTCACGTGCCGCCCCATCCCCAAGAACGACACCAACTCCTGTGACTGCATCATTCCTGAGGAGCCCAAGCAGCCCTTTGCTGAGGTGGCCAATGGATACGGCTCCAACACCTGTGCCTACGGTGAGGGTGTTTGCTTGCAGTGAGGCATTCTCATCTCATACTGCTATTGCCCAACGCCGTAACTTACATTGCTTAACTCTGCAGCCGCCTCAGCTTAACTCTGCGGCCCCCTCAGCTTAACTCTGCGGCCCGCTCAGCTTAACTCTGCAGCCCCCTCAGCTTAACTCCGTAAGCCCCTTTGTCCCACTCTGTAATCCCCTCTGCCCCCCTCTCCAACCCGCCAGTGGACGTTTGTGTTAGTGTTAGCCGCAATCTCACACTTAGTAGTTGCACTTTTATATCCTAGTTTAGTGAAGTTTGCACTTTGTGTTTGGTTGGGTGTACACCTACATCCCAACCAAACCCAAATGTGATCTCCAAGCAATCTCCAACCCACCAATTGGAGATTGCCTTGGGATTACCCCTGATGCCCTTGGGATTTCCCCTTATTCCCTCCCCATTCATACCTTGCTTATTTCTGCTGTGCCTAAAGAGCCTTGAGCTTATTACTATTGTATCGATTCTAAGCTCAAGTTTCTGACAGTTTTTGGGTCTTACTTCAAAAATCCCTGTGCCATGACCACATGCATCATCAATGGCACCCTCTTTTTCCCATATCCTCATTCTCGTCTTCCTGCTTGTCACCCCGCCACTCCCCAGTGGACGTGTGTGGGTCGTACTTCAAGAACCCCTGTGCGGTGGGCACATGCATCAACGATGGCAAGGGCGCCTACTCCTGCATCTGCCCTCCCAGCTACGTCCCCAGCCGCACCATTCTCAACTTCCCCACCTGCGACCCAGGTCCTGCCCATGCCCATGCCCCCGCCCCTGCCCCTGCCCCTGCCCCTTTCCCATGCAATCCACGCCAATGACAGCTCCTGTATCTTCAGCTAGCATTTCAAAAGGCGATTGTGTTTTTGTTTTCCTTTGATACAACAAACACAGGAAACAAGTTCAAGATCCATATGCAGCAAGCCCCTCCCCATCTTCCCCTGCACTGCTTTACTCTGAGAAATGCATACTTGATACTTCTTCCTCAGTTAAGACTTCCCTCCTTTATACATGGTTCAATCCGTGTAGATCCAGCCACCTGTGTTTCCTCCCCACGTGCTCTTGATTGCACGGGAATCCTTCCCCACTCAATCCCACTTGCCCCCACTTGACGACCCTGCTCTCTCCCTGCTGCCTCACCTCTCGTACCTGCCCCTCTCCCCAGTGAATGTCACGGCCACATCAATGGCAGTAAGCGGGGTCAGCATCAATGGCTTCTGCGGCGTCTCAAAATTCGACCATCCCTCACTCAATAGCTCTGCATGCTCCCTGCTGCCCCACCCCTCGTACCTGCCTCTCTCCCAGTGAATGTCACGGCCACATCAATGGTTGTGAGCGGGGTCAACTGGCGTTGCTCGGACGTCTATCCCATTGTGGGAATATCATACAATCAGTTCAGGCAGCAAAACCCTGTACGTGTGTCGCCTTGTCCTTTCCCAGTCAGCAAGAAAGCCCAGTCTGTAAGGAGAAGAGACTGATCCGTCACAGACGCGAAAGCACCCCTTGTAAGTGCTACACTAAATCTCCTTGGAACTGAGTTCATGCTCAGTGTAAAGGTTGCAAGTTGACTAAAAGTGCCCCACAAGAAACACTCAAGAGGCACGGGAGGCTCATGCCAACGCCAGTGTGAAGAGGGCAACATGAGCGGGAGGGCAAGGTGAATGACGGCACGAATGCAACCAAATTCGTTCAACTTTCAGAGGTCGGTGCTTTTGCCTCGTGTGTTCATTCAAGTAAAATAAGGGACCTCCGCTTTATGTGCCTCCCATTCGTTGCATGCGTGCACCTGCTCTTTCTGTCTGGCCAGCAAGTGGACTGCTCTCAGCCGTTGGTGATAAACACAACGCTGTCCGTGGGTGGGAGTCCTGAAGTTCCCTGCACTTCCTATTTCTACGCCCTCCAAGTGAGCACTGATATATGCATGCTTGGAATCTCCCTAAGCCGAAACATGTTTGTCCTGTGTGTTGATCGCTGCTGAGTCAAGGGTTTTTTTTTTTTTTTTTTTTAAGCCTCCCTTGTTTATTAACGTGCACGATTTTGTTTCCTTTTCTTTTCGCTTGTCGCTTATTAACTGCCACAATTCAAACTATCCTTCACCGCGAGGATCATTGCCGAGCTTGTCTCACATGGAGGTGTCTTTTCTCGCCAGAATCCTGTTGCTTCACGCCTCAGGAGTCACTCTTTTTGTAGATCCCACTGTCTCAGCACTGCCCTTCATCAAGTAATGTCTGCTGTAATCCAACACATCCCTCTGTGCAACAAGGGGAGAACTGAACTGAGATACCTGCCTCATTCAATTCGGCCATCTGTTTGCGTGCCACGAAGCCAGCAAGAAGCAAGGACAAGGGATTACTTTCTCCACTACCCCCATTCTTCATCCCGACACCCATTTGTGATCGCTTTCTTGATCACACCCATTCTTGATCCCCACGCCCTCATTCTTGATTTCCACTCTCATTTTTTATGCTGACACCCATTCTTAATCCTAACACTTATACGAGATTCCCACGACTATTCTTAATCCCCACACTTCCCCATGCCCATTCTTAATCCCCGCAAATCCCCACACCCAATGTTAATCCCCACACCCTTTCTCAATCCTACGCCCATTCGTATTCCCCTCACGCCAGGGAGACACATGCCGTTCCATGGCATACCAGCTCGTAATGACCCGCAGCAAGCTCATAGAGCTAAACCCCAGTCTGGACTGCGCCGTCCCTATCAAGTCCGGCCGTTCCGTATGCATCGAGCGCAGTACCACCTACGCGTACACCGTTCCTTTATGCCTCAAGTACGGGGTCATGCTGGCACAGGACTCATGCGAGCGCATGCTGCAAGGGCTGGCGGGGGATGTGAATGCGACGATGTGGGCCATGCTGTATCGCACCAAACCGGGGCTGGTGTGCTCGCAGGTCATCCCCACGTCCATCGCGGCTGTTGGCAGCAACATCGGCGTGCAGGTGTGATGTGTGGTTTGCTCCTTTTTTTTTCCGTCTTCTTCTTTCATAGGCAGCATTGGGATGTATGTGATGCGTGACTCTGAATCGTTTGCTATCATTCTGACAGGTAACATTGTTGTTCAGGTGCTGAAAATGTGAATCATTTGAAAGAATCAGGTGGTTCCTCCCTCCTCTCACGAAATAGCGGTCGTAGAGGGGTATGGTGAAAAGAGACAGATTCTTTTCAAGTCCGCCATAAGCTGTGGAAACTCAAACATTTGTTATGTTCTGCTTCCCTTTCTCTGGTGTCCACTTCCTATCCCAGGTGTGTCTAAGAGTGGAGTATTGGCCATTCACACTAGGCCGATGTAATAAGGGAAGGGCCAAGAATGTTTCGCCAACGCTGTCGTGTTCTGGTGCTTATAGTTTCTATGATGCAGACAAGAAAAAAGCATCTGCCAAGTTTACCACCTACAATGGAAACGCATGTGCGGGGAACGTAGGAGGCAAATATATTTGTGTGCCATAATGAAATCTTCTGTTTGTTGTTTTGATCTCAATGCTGACTGAACAAAACACCCACCACTTTATTAGTGTGGTGCAATGAGGGCTGGTTCTCACACAAGTTGCCCTACAAAAAGATGCCGCCTATACTGAAAAATCATGTATAATGTGTAGCTCTGTACACCAGATCAGAGGTAAGAAGAATACCAAGATGATTTATCCACATGCTGTTGGAAGAAGCTTGATACAATAAATTTCCCTACGACGTGGTTACATTCCCAAGTCCACAAAAACCTGCACCGCACATGCATAAATTGTATGCTAAGATTTGAGAAATTATGAGAGTTTTGGGCAGTGTTGCACTCTGCAGTGTACCGAAACCCAAAATTACTATTACCCAAGATTAGTAGTGCGGCTGCTAGTATCGCACGCGCATGGAGCCGAATCCACTGTTCTTTGCCTGCATTGCACACCATCGCGCCAACCACGCTACTCTTCCCCATCCACTAACAGCAGCAGAGGTCGTAAATGCAACCATGCCGCTTTACTGTGAGTGCCGCGAATGCGGCTTCGGACGGGGAGCTCATCGGGTCGGTTCGGGACTAGTTCACTTATGGCCTCGCGCGCAGGACACTCGGCAGGGCACTCGGTCGGTACTCCGAGGTACCAAGAAGGTCAAGCTGCATTCACGACACGAGACGGTGACGTGCATGCGCCCGGGGGTTGAGTGAGGCCGGCTGTGCACAAGTTGTCATGTTCCTTGCGCTGCACGCCACCGAAATAGTAGCAGCAGGCCTCGCTCTGTTAAATACTATTGTGACGATATTCACAATTCTTGTCGGAAACATTAGAGACACAAACTAGTTCACAGACTAAGCACAAAGCACCATCATGGCGACAACGTCAGGAAGTTCCCGTCACGATGGCGCCACGATCATTACGCAAACCGCCACATTCGGCGAAGCCTCCTCAGTCACCATGACGCTGCTCCCGGCGCACTCGGGGAAATCGCCGCACGCAGAGGCTGTAGACCAAGAGGAGCGGCGCCGTTGCGGCGCTGACAGAAAGGAGCGCTCCGCGGAGTGTTCAGTGAGCATCCCGGCGGCTCGAGGCCCCCCACCCGCCGCGGCCAGCGCCGCTACTGCCGGCGTGCCGCGCCGCGACGAGGTCGACCCTGTCTCCTGCTATCCGCAGCGCGACTCGGCATGGGCCGCGGCCCTCGCGGCGTGCATCGCGCTGCTGATCGTCCACGAGCTCGTCTCACCGCTCTTCGCGCTCCATTGGCCATTCCTCTTCTCCCTCGCCTTCTTCCTCCTTTGCGGCGTCTCCGCGTTCGTCCTCTCCCTGTTCCCTTCCTGCTTCGCGCTCAGCCGACTTTCCAGTAACTTCACTCCTCGCGCCGTCAATATGTCCTGCGTCGTCAGCACCATCATACTTTTCGTCTGTTGGGGGGTTGGGGTATCCTATGTGTTCGTTACATCCGACCCTGCGCCGATTAAATACCTAATTTACTCCGCTGAGTCGGCCGTATGCGTCTTACTGCTGCTGCTCACCATCCTCCCCCTCCTCACCTTGCATCAGCACCTCGATACTGTCACATCCATTATCTGTCGTGCCATCTGGCTGGCGCTTTCATTCAATACTAACGTCCTCACTACAATCGCGTTGCAAGGGGTGCTATTTGTCGTAATTCTCACACCCATTATGCAAGCCATCTCTGACTATTTCAGCTGCTTTGGCGACTGGTCCTTCAGCCACACGTCTTACGTGGATGGCAGGCTGGTTACACCAACCCGTTACACCTCAATTCTCACCATTGCCTAGGCTTTCATTGCCATCTGGATTCTGCTCGCTGTAGTCACCTCCGCCCTAGTGACCGTATCAGCAAGGTTTGCGCTAGTATGCACTGCTGCTGCTGACCTATCTACTACGGGCAGCGGCAACAGCAGTGTGGATGATGGTGGAACCTTGAGTGCTCCTCATGGTGCTGATGCTGATGCTGCCAGTGGCGCTGCTGACGGTACTGGTGCTGCCGATGGTGTTGATGCTGCGTCAACTGAATCTGACGGGGCTGGGAAGCAGCATGGCTGGTGGCAGCGGATAGTGCAAGTGGCCAAGCAGGACAGGTGCGTGTGAGTGAGTGTGCGTTGGTGTGTGAATGAGAGTGTGAGAGTGTGTCTGTTCCTACAAGTTTTTTGTCCTAATGAATCACGTCGTCATTTCCCCGTTTCCCTTTCTCCACCCCTTTCTCCTCTCTTCCCACCACAGCGAGGTCATGTGTGCATCGGTCGGCACTGCCAGTGCCATCAGCTGTGCTGGCACCGCAACTCTCATCCTTGCTGCGTTCGCCAGCATGTCTGCATACAGCTCTCTAGGTGCAGGCACAGCTGCTGCACTGGCCTCGGGTCTGGTTGCCTGGATTGCGGCTCTTGCCTTGTGCTTCCTCTACTGGTGCGTGCCATGGGTGCATGCTGATGGTGTGTGCCATGGGTGCATGCTGATGGTGTGTGCCATGGGTGCATGCTGATGGTGTGTGCCATGGGTGCATGCCGATGGTGTGTGCCATGCGTGCATGCTGATGGTGCGTGCATGGATGCTGATGGTGAATGTGATGTATGCATGGTGTGTGCCACACATGTGTGCAATTGGTGGTTCCAATGCCAGTGACAGATTATAATACCGTTGCTCCATTCAACCTCAACCATGTCTTGCCTTGCCCTGCCTGACTTGCTTCGCATTGTTGTTCCATGCCCAACTCCTCCCCTCGCTTCTCCCCTCATCCCTTAATCAACGCCCAAACCATCCAGTCCTCACCGTTCTTTCCATGCAATTCCCCACTTCGTCATGCGACTCCCCTCCTCCGCAGTCTGGTTCTCCCCAACGCTGCTGCCGCCAAGCTCAGCTTCCTTCCCTCGTTACACATCGCCCTCCGAGCTCTCTCTCGAGCCTTCCCAACCTTCCTGCTCCTCCTGGCTGTGTCACTCGTGCTGCTGCTTCCAGTATCCGTACTAACAATTCTGGTGGTCGGCTATGGTGGGGTAAGCTTTCGCAACGCCGTAACCAGCGGCTGTGTCGTGTTTTCTTGCATGTGGTGCTGTGATGTTGGTTACTGTGATGCTGATTATATTATTTCCGTTTTCCCCCTCCCCCATTGCAGTCAGCTTTGGCGTTTGTGGCTGTCTGTGTCCTCGCCCCTCTGGTCCAAATATGGGGACCGTGGAACTTAATTGCGCTGTTTGTAGTGGCAGTCATATTCTGCTTTGTCACTGGGGTGTTCTCTTCCATTGTGCTAAGCCTTGTACTCATTATTGGTGTCTCCACTGTGCTCTCTTGGGATCTTAGCTCCCAGGCGCAAACACTCTCGAGTGGACGAAGTGAGTTTCATGCTTGCTTGATTCCCTGACCACAGATACAGTACTGGTTGGTAGCACGGTTGTGGCGTAGATGTGGCGTAATTTATCACTGTAAAACCCTTACTGTATGTTGTGAAGAGTTACTACACAGAAACGAGGGTTCTTTCTTGACGGAGAAAATTGGTTTCATGCCTCACTCATTCTTTCTTACCTTCAGCTTTAGGCACGACCACGACCACGTTATAGGCTGTTGGAAACAAGTGATTTAAGCGCCTCTGTCGTGTCGAAACACTAAGTCGTATACGAAGCAAAAACACAACGGAACATCCGGGAGTCAATCCTCGGAGGTTGAGAAGAAAAGCAACCGCTGGAGGTGTGAAAGTCAAAGGTCAGCAGCCTTTGACCTGACAAGTACAGCACGACAGCAAGGACAAACAACTGACTCGTTATTGAGCAGTTGCCCGAGTCGTCACTGTATCGAACTGCAACAGCAACAGTAAAACGACTATTAGCTGTATCTCTTCATATTCCTTGTACTCTTATAAATGTTGGAAACAATGAATCATAAGCGCCAGGCCCTCAGATTCGTTTGGGGGTACACTGAGGCCTCAGGGCAGTTTTTAGGAAATCAGAATTTGCCCTGAATTGTCAGGGCTGCACAGGGTGAATTATCCTGAAATGTCAGTGCTACATTTGATAGTATCCTGGCAGCTCAGTGCTACATTTCGTACAGTCCAGTATATTTCGCGCTTGTTATGTTAGCGAGGATCGAAGTGCTCTCCACAATTGAAGTGTGCAATGCTGGGGTGCAGCTGCAACTGGCTGGCAGTATGGCGGTACAAGCAGATGGCGAAGGTGGCGGGTGGACATCGTGGGCCGAATTGGCTAGAAAAGCGAAGTAATGGGCTCCAGCACTGAACTTCTACTTGTTCTCGAACAGAGCTCTCAAGAAGTGTCGTAGTGGGAAAGGCGACAGCCTGTTACCCAGTAGGTCTCCTGTCAAACTATATGTGCTGCATATTGTCTAGGCTGTAGTGGGGTAGCCCATATGGGGTACAACCCAATGTTAGGGTTAGCTTATGTACCCAACTCTTGATCAATGCATTCATTCTTGTCTCTAGATTCTAACATGGTTTCAGAGCAGTAGGTCCGTAGGACCGTTTTTTTTTTTTCGGGCCCACCTACCGCTACCCCACGCCTGTGCCTATGTCGGCGCCTGTGCCTGTGACGTGCTGCGCTGCGCGCGCCGTCTGCCTGTAGCCTACTGCCTGCTGCCTACTGTGTTGTCTGCTGCTGCTACCGCGCAGACCTAAGTCACGCACGCTGCCCGCTGCTGCCTCAAGCGTCGCCCTCGCTGCTCGCGCCGCTCTGCTGCCCCTCACACGCCGTCAGCGCAGCGCACAGCCCCCAGCGAGCCGCGTGCAGCCCCGTCGAACCGCGTGCAGCCCCGTCGAGCCGCGCGCAGCCCGGATCTACCGCGCGCAGCCCCCGCCGAGCCGCGCGCAGCCCCGTCGAGCCGCGCGCAGCCCCGTTGAGCCGCGCGCAGCCCGTTTTCTGCTGCGCGCAGCCCCGTCGAGCCGCGCGCAGCCCGTTTTCTGCTGCGCGCGGCCCCGCCGAGCCGCGCGCAGCCCGCTGCTGCCGCGCGCGACCCCCCCCCGAGCCGCGCGCAGCCCCTGCCGAGCCGCGCGCGGCCTGCTGCTGCTGTGCGCAGTCCCTGCCGAGCCGCGCGCGGCCAGCTGCTGCTGCGCGCGGCCTGTTTCTGCCTCCCGCAGCCCGCGCTCGGCCCACAGCAGCCCCGCGCGCTGCCCTGCATAGCCTGCAGCTGCATCGGCCCCGACCTTCCGCTGCTGCGGCCCCTCGCTGCTGCTGCCGAGGCCCCGACCTGCCGCTGATGCGGCCCCCACTCTGCGACTGCCGCTGAAGCGGCCCCCCACCCTGCAGTTGCTGCGGCCCTACTCTACTGTCGCTGTTCCGGCCCCATCGCCGCTGCAATCGTGCGCCTACTCGGCCCTGCTCGCCCGGCGAGCACCTGCCCTTCCAGCCTTTGGTGAGCGACTGCCTGCCTGCCTGACGGCCTGCCTGCCTGCCTGCCTGCCTGCCTGCCGGCCTGCCTGCCTGCCTGCGCGCCTGCCTGCCTGCCTGCCGGCCTGCCTGCCTGCCTGCCGGCCTGCCTGTCTGTCTGCCTGCCTGCCTGCCTGCCTGCCTGTCTGCTTGCCTGCCTGCCTGCCTGCCTGCGTTCCTGCCTGCCTGCCTGCTTGCCTGCCTGCCTGCCACGCCTGCCCTGCCCGCGCTACTGCTACTGGCGGGTGGTCAGATGCAGCTCCAGCGACGTTCACGCGAGCCTCTCACGCCCCAGCAGCTTAGTGAGTGGTATACTAGCTGGGGTTGTCGCGGTAGCCGTAGTAGCTGTCGCCCTGGGGCTGGTCAGTTGGGAGCGTCTAGCAGTGGCCAGCTGCAGCTGCAGGGGCGTCCACGCGAGACACTTATGCCTCGGCAGCTCCAGGAGTGGTACGCTCAGTGTAGCAGGTCTACACGTACAGTTCGCTGCCCGTACGTCATTCGCACAGGTGCTAGGACTGGTCAGCCTTGTGGGACGCTTGGTCACACACAGTCCCGCTGCTTCGCCCGTCTGAGCGACGACTGGCGCACAGTGTTTGGCGACGAGGCTGAGCTCCCCACCTGGCTGGAGCTGCATGGACAGGGGGTAGATATCTTTGCGCCTGACTATGATGCTATTCTCACTGCCATGTATGCATTGTCTACTAGTGCTGACCGTGCCTGTTGCCTGTGCGTACCGCCTGACCCTGGTGAGGCTGCTGCCCTAGGTGCTAGTGCGTCTCCTGCTCTAGGTGCTGGTGAGGCTGCTGCTCTCGGTGCTAGTACGTCTACTGCTCTAGGTGCTGGTGAGGCCGTGGCTTCAGGTGCTGCTGTGTCTGCTCTCTCTGGTACTGCGCCCACTGCGGTCTCGCACACCTTCACCCTTGACTCAGGAGCTTCCCGCTCCTTCTTTCGCGACTGCACCGCACTCACGCCGCTCCGTCGGCCAGTCCCGGTCTCCCTGGCGGACCCCTCTGGGGGTCCAGTCCTTGCCCACTATTCCACGGTTCTGCCGTGTCCGGCCGTCCCGTCCGGCTCGCTGTCAGGTCTTTACCTCCCCTCGTTCTCTACGAACTTGGTGAGTGGAGCTGACCTCCAGGATGGGGGGGTTCACCAGTTCACTCCTGCGAGTCAGCGAGTGACTCACTGTACGTGTGCTAGGACGGGCCGGCACTTGGCCACGTTCACCCGTGCACCTGGCTCGAGTCTGTACACACTGACCACTGAGTCCCCTCAGGTAGCTGCGTCTGCGTCTTCGTCTGGTCAGCTGGCGGCCCCCTGCGAGTGTCGCGCTTTGTCGCACGACACTCTCCTGTGGCACCACCGCCTTGGTCACCCCTCCTTGCCTCGCCTGCGTAGCATGCACTCTCGCTCCCTGGTCTCTGGTCTCCCCAGGTCTCTGCCTGCCCTCCCTCCCTCGCCTGCGCCGCCCTGCATTCCTTGCGTCGAGGGGCGGCAACGCGCTGGAGGTTCTGGAGCCGCTGGAGGTACTGGTGCTGAGGGTACTGACACCGGAGGTTCTGGAGCCGTTGGGGGTGCGGGCGCTGAGGGTTCTGAGTCTGCTGTTGCGCGGTCTCCTTGGAGTGGCCGCCTTCGTCCACGTGTGCCTCTCACCCCACAGCAGCTGCAGGACTGGTACGGTCGCCGTCAGCGTCGCGCTGCTGGAGCTAGGAGTCGTGCTGGTCCTTTGTCTACTGGAGGTGCTGGAGTTGCTGGTTCTGGAGGTGCTCGTGCTGGAGACACTGAGGCTGGAGACCCTGGGACTGGAGGTGCTGGCTCTGGGGGTGCTGCTGCTGGAGACACTGAGGTTGGAGACCCTGGGGCTGGAGGTGCTGGTTCTGGGGGTGCTACTGCTGGAGACCCTGAGGTTGGAGACCCTGGGACTGGAGGTGCTGGTTCTGGGGGTGCTGCTGCTGGAGACACAGAGGTTGGAGACCCTGGGACTCGAGGTGTCGGCTCTGGGCCTGGAGCTTCTGGAGCTGCTGGAGGTACTGGAGCTACTGGAGGTACTGGAGCTGCTGGAGGCACTGGAGCTGCTGGAGCTGCTGGTACTGGTGCAGCTGCGCCGACACGACTGTTCTTCGCTCCGCCGTCTCCGTCGTCTCTGCCGCCGTCTGCCTCTGTTCTTCGTCAGGTTCTTACTCTTCCGTCGTCTACTGGTCTTCCGTTACAGTCTGGCTCACCGCTGCCTGCTCCTTCTCCTTACACTGAGCAGACTGGTAGTCCTGCTGAGCGTCGTGAGCCTGCGTCGCGTCCTGTTTCGCCTGTTCGTCCTAGTCGTACCGGTCGTCGTGTTCCTCGTTCGCGTCAGCCGGCTGTCCCCGGCGCACACCTCGTAGTCCGTCGTCCTTCCTCTGCTCCGCAGCCTGTTCCTCTGCCGTCTCCTCCTGCGTCCTCTTTGCCTGACGTTCCGGACCCGGCGTCTGACCGGTTTCGTGCTGAGCACCCCACTGTCACGCGTCTCCTAGCCACAGTTGTCACTGACCCGTCGTTTGAGTCTACTGCTGCGTCTGCCTTGGTCGCTGAGCTTGTTGACTTTGCTGCTGCCTGTCGTCTAGACTACGCCGCTAGTCTTGTTGTTGAGTCTGAGTCTGTCTGTCCTCCGTCCGTCGGGGGTGAGTGTGCTCTTAGCACGGACGTCCTTGAGGACAGGCAGGAGGAGTTCCAGTGTCTTGCTGCTGCTTTACCTCATCTTGTGTCCTCGCTACTTGCCCCTGAGGGAGACCCGGATGCACCAGACATCCCGACTCCGCGCTCTTACGCAGAGGCGATAGAGGGTCCCTACTCCTCTCAGTGGCAGGCAGCCATGGACGCAGAGATGGCTTCCTGGAAGTCCACAGGCACCTACGTTGACGAGGTTCCCCCACCTGGGGCGAACATCGTCAGTGGCATGTGGATTTTCAGGGTGAAGCGGCCGCCGGGTTTTCCGCCTGTCTTCAAGGCGCGTTACGTG